ATTACTTAGATTAATACATGTATAATTACCCTACAAAATTCTGGAATTCTCCACCACATAGTTTTTGAGAAATCATTGATAAACTAGTAAAGTAAACAAATAAAGTCATGCGTGGAAGTAAGTGAGCAATAGCCCGTAAGAGAGGCAACACTAGCGCGTGACGAAGACAGCAGTAGCATAAACTATAGGTTGGGAAAGAACTACCTTAATTAATAAAAAAAATCAAAAATTTTTAGACGTCTGCTAACTTCAGTATCATCTACTTATTCTGAACGTTTTATAATAAATATTTTCTACTTACTTTTTAAATAAAATAAATATTTCATAAAAAAACTTCCCCAGAAGCGCTAATTTAATTCCTTCAAGTACAAAAAGAAAATTTTACCTGTAAAAAATAAAAAAAAATATACTATAGTGAGGTCATTAAAGTTAGCCGACGTTCTAAACTTTTGATTTTTTTTTAATGATCAAATTAGAACAAAAAAATTTTTTTTAAAATTGCACTTACAGTTTTTGAAGTTTTTTAGACGTGCAATTTTTTTTTAATGATTTTTTCAATAAAAAAAAATTATAAAAATTTTTAAATGTCGGCTAACTTAATTTTCATACTATAGTGACAAAATTTTCAAAAGCAGAGTCAGCTGTTCTCTGTACAGCCATTTTAATTTCTCACTTCGATCCATCACTTTGACGTTCCAAACTACACTAGCGCTGCCTGGCTCGTAAATCACTTTTGGAGTGAAGCCGAGATCTTTACTATACTTATTTTCAATAGGGCAGCATCAGTCTTTGTAGTTATGAAAAGTCACTGCTACTGGTGAGTAGCATAAAATAAAAAATTTGCTATTTTCTATCAATTTGTAATAGTCTCACAAATTTGATGTATATACATTAGAAATTAACTTTTTTTTTTTTTTTTTTTTTTTTTTTTTTTTTTTTTTAACTAGGATTTAACTAGGATCATCCCCAAATTTCAATTTTTACTATTTTTAAAAAATTCGAAAAAGTCAAAAAAAAGTATAAAAAAAAATTTTTTTTCAAGCAGTCGCCATTTTGTGAAAAAATTTTTTTTCAACTTTTCCCTAGTTCATGCCATAGCGACATTACTCTAGATTGATAATCTTTTTTATTTTTTTATTTCCGATTGCTAGGATGGTTGGAATGGTGGGCATGGTCACGTGCCAAATTTTTGGGACTCCCCCCCCCCCACTTCATCAGCTGCTAATTTTTTGAATTTTCAAGTTTTTTAACTTTTTTATTTTTTTCTGTATTCTTGTAATGTTAATAAATAACTTATAAAAAAATGGATAGTAAAAATATTGATTGCCTTTTTTTTACGGCACTTCAAAAAATTACCTGAAATTCATGCTTCTAGACTGGAATACCCCCTTAACATTTTGGCTCAAGGCATCAGTTTCCAAAAACACAAAATAAAATTCCCTTCAGGTAAACAAAATTTTTTAAATAAATAAAATAAAATTCTAAAAATTAACAATACTAAAGTTAGCCGAATTTTCATTAGCTAAGGACCAGTTTTTCAATTCAGGATAAAAATATAATTACTATTGACAGTATATATTTATATACATGAAATATATAGATATATTTCATCGGATAAAATTTTATTCTGGATTTAAAAACTGGTAATAAATAAAATGACTAAAAACTATTTTTCTAAAATTGCACTTATAGTTTTTCAAGTTTTTTACAAATTTTATCTGTAATAATTATTTAAGAAAAGAAAAAAAAAATAATTTTACTTGTTAAAAATTTGAAAAAATAAAAGTGCAATTTTTAAAAAATATTTTTAACTTCCCGCTAAAAAAATCGAAGATTTTCAAAAATCGGCCAAAATGTAACTTCATTGATGGACCTCTCAAAATTGGAATTTTGAGTTCCGCTGTTAACAGGAGTTGTGTTTGGGCATTTCCTGACATATTTTGAGCGTAAAGGATTTATTTGATTTTTATAAAATTTTTTAACAGGAGTTTTGTTCGGCAAAATTTTGAAAGTTTTAAATTCCAGCAAAAATTGCCGAACAAAACTCCTGATAAAAAATTCTATAACAATAAAATAAATCCTTTACGCTCAAAATATGACAGGAAATGCCCAAACACAACTCCTGTTAACCGCGAAACTCAAAATTCCAATTTTAAGAGGCCCATCAAGTAAGTTACATTTTGGCACACCCTAGTATGTATGTATGTTGGAGTCAAAAAAATCGATTATTTTTTTTTTCAACTTCTTACATTGAAAAGTTGGTTCTCAGGCACCTCGAGAAAATGCTCACCAAATTTGAGCTCTTAATATTGACAAGAAGCTTATATTATGCTCATCACAGTTTTACATTTTTTGTTAGTCTGTTATAAAAAAGATCATATCTCACTATTGATCAATTTTTTAATCAAATTTCTATACATATTTTTGTAGAAAATTGAATGATCTACAAAAAAGATCTGATATGTGTAAGCGATTACATTAACCATTTCAAAGATATCCCAGATCAAAGTTAAAAAAGTTTAATGTGGTAGGAAATTTAAAAAAAAAGTTTTTTTTTTTCTCAAGAAAATAATTGAGAGAAAAATATTTTCTTGGCTCAAGTGAACCTTTTTTTCTGTGCAGACTTTTGAGTGCAATTGTATGCACCTTCAGGGTCAACCATTTTCCGAATTTTTTAGTTTTCAGATTCAACAGAGTTCTGATTCAACAGAGTTCTGCGAAATTTGCTTGAGTCCGTTTCCCAGGAGCTTGATGACCGGCCTGGAGTGCGGGCACCGTTTTTGCGGCGACTGCTGGACGGAATATCTCTCGGTGAAGGTCATGTCAGAGGGAGAGTGCTTTTCCATCTCCTGTCCTGCTCACAAGTGCAAGATTTTAGTTGACGACGCCTCCGCGATGGCGCTGATCAAGGATTCCAAGGTAAGGTCCAAGTACCAGTGCTTGATAACGCAGAGTTTCGTTGAGTGCAACAGATTATTGAAGTGGTGCCCGGCTCCAGACTGCAACCGTGCGGTTAAAGTCCAGTATGTGAATTTTAAACCCGTAAAGTGTACCTGTGGCCGGAGATTTTGTTACAAGTGCAGTAAAACGTGGCATGCGCCCATTTTGTGCGAGTATATGAGAAAATGGGCGAAGACAGTCGCTGAAGACTTGTCTATCTCCCTCTGGATCAGAATTAACACCAAAAACTGCCCCAAGTGCTACGTGGCGATCGAGAAAAATGGCGGGTGCAACCACATGACCTGCAGGATTTGCCAGCATCATTTCTGCTGGATCTGCAGTGTAAATTGGTTTGATCACGGCTACAACACTAGATGCAACAGGTACGTCGAAGCTGAAGAAGTTAACCAAGAGCCGGATACTCCCATGCCTAATTTGAATACATTTCACCGCACGAGGTTCATTTATCATTTCAATTTCTTGGAGCAGGAAAGAAATTTGATGATGGACGTTCAAAATAAGTGTCAAAGGTTACCAATGTCCTGGACAGAGGTCTTCACGTTGCAAGCAGTCATGACCAAGGCAGTCAATGTTTTGCGCCAAACTAGGGAGACCTTGATGTATTCCTACGTGTTTGCGTATTTTGTTGAAAAGTCTAACCAGAAGACTATTTTTGAGTTCAATCTGCAGGGCATAGAAAATACTACGGATAGTCTCTCGCATTATTTGAAAATGCATATTGTTAATGCTGAAGTTGATGTCATCATACGCAAGGTTCAGAATAGGACTCAGTATTGCGACCAATTCTGCAGAGTACTTCTGGATCACGTTAATGAAGGTTATGACAAGGGCTGGTGGACCCATCTTGAAACTGCGTAGGTTATATTTTTTAGTTACTGTACATATAGAAAGGTTAGCTTGACTCGAGAAAATTTATTTTGTAAGGAAAATTTATCATTCTACTTCTGATAGTGATTCTATAGAGATAATGCACACCTGTACATGCCCATATAGCAACCTTTTTCAAGGATTGAGCAAGTCTGGTCACAATTTCGATAGTTGTTAGTGTCTTTTTCTACCTATGGGTCTTGCTCCAGATACTTGTAGCAAATTCAATTGACAAGTCTTGAACCAGCCTTGTACAAGAACTTTGGGCCAGATTATAGCTCAAGAATTGTGGAAGAAAATTGAGAAAATCTGAAGATGCTTATCGATAAACTAACTATATCAATTCTTGAGAAAGACTGACACCAGAAGCATGCTGAATATACTTGTGCAAGACTTGCTCAAGATCTGCTCAAGATCAAATGTTTTCGAATGACCGTTCTTATCATTCTACCCCTCCTATATTTACTATAGGATCAGTGGATCTCATTCAGCTTAACCTTTTAGAGTATAGACCTACTGTTTAATCGATCAAGACAAAATTATTTTAAAATGACCACCACTGAATCAATAGATCTTCAAGTAGTGGAGGGGAAAAAGTGCTATAAAATATATAATGCATCATGCATCTTGAGCAAGTCACGCTTCAACATTTGCTGTTAGTTTTTGGTTGACAAATGCTTTAGAAATGAACAAATTACTGAGAATTACGGATCTTGAGCAAATCTTGAGCAAGTCATGGGTAAGTGTCTGTTGTGAGTTTCTGATTCAAAAAATCCGTCAGAAAGTTTTTTAATGCACCTTGCATTAGACTTGTCTCATATTCTTCCACATGATGTCTTAAGCTAGTTATATATAAATCTTGAACCAGTTTTTTCTACATGAACTGGAGCAAGACCTATATGTAGACAAAGTTACCTGGGTAGAACCAGAAGGAACACATAGTTAAAACATAATTACCTCATATCAATATATAATAATAAATTTTTCAAGTACAAAGTAATAAGTACATTGTTCTACAAATTTTTTACAATTTTTATGATTAAGGTTTTCCAATTATTTATATGTCTAAACATTTAAAAATTTTAACCAGGTCCCAAGTTTTTTACAAAGTGTTGACTAGAGCAATTTAATAGTTCATTTCATTAAGAAGTAAATTGTAATATTTAATTGCTACATACACAAAAAAAACAACAACTCACTGGGTAGTATGCATAGTAAAAAAAATTTCAAACTATAGTCAATATCCTTTAAAGTATACTCGGTTAAATAGGAAACTTCACGGAGTACAGTTAAAAACTCATGCAGTATACTTTAAAAGATATTGACTATAGTTTGAAATTTTTTTCACTATGAATACCACGGAGTATACTTTATGAGTATGTACAGTGAGTTATTGTTCTTTCCGTGTATAGAGCATTTTTTGTACTGATAGATTTATTAATTTTAGGTAAAGGTATAATTTTTGCACAAGTGTTTAGTAGTCTTTTAGCATATAGAGATTTACAATGTTTAAAATATGTAAATAATTATTTTTTTTCGAAAAACAATAAATTTCTTGAGATAAATAAAATTTTTGATTTAAAAATAAATTTCTTGGATGACAAATTTTTTATTTTCTCGCATATTCTCTTTTTTTTCTGTAAAACTGAATAAGTAGTATCATCTCTTAATGACTCTTTTTAAAAGTTTCAAATGGCAGAGAAAATTTAACTTTTGACGACTTATTAAGTATTTTCTTTACTTAATTAGGGATGTACAGACTTTTCAGGAGTTATTAAGTTTTATTGTTAAAGCTCTTTTCAGCTTTTACTTAATTTTTTTCTATCATATCGCATCTAGTAATACAATGAGTAATTAAATTTCCATTTACTCGAGTATTTAGGGTCGGAAGCCCTTGCAAAAGTCTGGGTCTGGCTAATGACGGGCAAATTTTCGAGAGACCAAACGAGACACTTGATGTATTTTTATGATTATTCTGTCTCTTTTTTTTTTCTTGGAATAAATGTTAAAAATTAATAAAATATCAATTTGCAATCAATTTTTTAAAAATAATCTTTTTTAACAGACTTGTTTGTTAAATAAAATTAAAAAATTACCAAAAAAATTTAATGTAAGTTAGCAGCTACTTGATAATTTTTTAATTTTATTTAACAAATAAATTATTTTTAAAAAATTGCATTTATAGTTTTTTTCAGATTTCTACATATTAATTTTTTTTTTGCCATAATTAAATTGTTAAAAATTTTAATAATAAATAAATATTTCATAAAAAAATTACCCAAAAGCGCTAAATTAATTTCTTCAAGCACAAAATAAAAATTTTACAAAACAGAGTCAGCTGTTTTCTACACAGCCATTTTTATTCCTCACTTCCACCACTTTGACTTTCGAAACGACTCTAGTGCCGCCTGGCTCGTAAAATCACTTTAGGAGTCAAGCACATCTTACCTATGTATTCAATAGTACAGTAGCAGTCATTATAGTAGTGAAAAGTCACCTCGTGGGTTCACATTTTGGCTCAAGGCATCAGTTTCCAAAAACACAACCCAAATATCAAAAATTAAATTCCCTAAAGGTAAGAAAAATTTTTAAATAAATTAAGTAAAATTAAAAAAAAATTCTATAAATTAACAATGTTAAAGTTAGCCGACGTTTTTTGCAGTTTTTCAATCCAGGATATAGAAACATAATGAGCGTGTTCAGCCGAACTAAGTCCTGAGTAAACTTAGTAAGATATGTATAGTATAGTAGATAGATATATGTATAGCAGGGAATGCTTTGACTATACTTAGGCTAACTAAGTTTACTCAGGACTTAGTTCGGCTGAACACGCTCAATTATTAGTGCCAGTACATTGATATACATGAAATATATAGATGTATTTTATTATTGGATAAAATTTTATTCTGGATTGAAAAACTGGTCCTAACTAAAAAATATTTTTAAAAAATTGCACTTATAGTTTTTGAAGTTTATTACAAAAAAATGGTGTGTGTACTTATGTACACGCGTCAGAAGTTATACTTCTTTGGCATATAATAAAAAAAAATTTAAAGAAAAAAAAATACAAAAATGATCAAAGAAAAATGTTAAAAACAATCAAATAGGTTTTATTATAGTAAAAATTTAGCTATACCGTATAAATATAAAATCATTAATTATCATATGAATTTAATTCAATATTATTAAAGGTTTTTCTAAATAAAATAATTTTGGAGCTTCAAAGTATCAATAGTTTACAATCGATAATTATAAAATATTTTAATTATGAAAATTAAGTTAGCTGACATATAAAAATTTTGAGAATTTTTTTTTTTATTGAAAAAATGATTAAAAAAATAAAAAAAATCTTTCACTTGTAAAAAACTTCAAAAACTGTAAGTGCAATTTTTAAAAAGTATTTTTTTGTTCTAATTTAATTATTAAAGATAAAATCAAAAAATTAAAAATGTCGGCTAATTTTAGTATCATTAATTATTTATTTAAAATATATTATGTTTCTTATAAAATAATTTATTATTTATTATTTAACTTAGTGATAATATCTTTTTAATTAATATATTTATTCAAAAATAATGTATACGTGAATTAAAAGACAAATATTGTAGTACGAAACTAGATTTTGTTTCCAATAAAATTCCGGAAAATTATGAAAATGGTCTATAATATGAATTTAAAAAAATATGGATAGAATTACTATATTCGATAAGCAAAATGATTGAGTCTGTATTAAAAATTATGAACTCAATAAAAAAATACCTAAATATAATAGGTACTACAATATTTATATTTTAGTTTAAATATTTTAATTCATGAAATTACTATTATTTTTGGAAAAATATTGATTAAAAGAAAATTATTATCAAGTTAAATAAAAACTAAAATATTTAATTGACCATTTTTTAGAATTAATTATTAATATGAATAATATATTTCATATTAATTCGCGTGCCCTTTTACCTTTGGGCACGCGAATTATTTAAGAAAAAAAAAAATTTCATTTGTAAAAATTTGAAAAACTAGAAGTTTAATTTTTAAAAAATATTTTTTAGTTCTAATTTAATTAATGAAAAAAAAATCAAAAATTTCGGCTAACTTTATTAAATTATAAATTATTTTTATAAAAAATAATTAAACATTTGTTCCTTTAGTTTTCATAAATTTCTCAAGATCCCAAAATGGATACTACCGAAGACTATGAGATGGAGGTTGAACTAGAGGAGTTCGAGAGTGAAGAAAAGTACCGCTACGAAATCCTGAAACCGGAAGAAATAGTGACAGACATGTTAAAAAAAATAACGTTTATCACGACAATTCTCGAGGTGCCAAAAACAACCACCAGAATTTTGTTGCACCACTTCAAGTGGAACGAAAAGAAGCTCCTAGAAGACTATTTTTCCAAGGACAGAGCTGCCATCTTCAAGGCGGCTGGCCTAGTAGACCCTTTAAGTGTTTCAAAATCTAAAGAGCTCCCTTCAGATTCAACAGAGTTCTGCGAAATTTGCTTGAGTCCGTTTCCCAGGAGTTTGATGACCGGCCTGGAGTGCGGGCACCGTTTTTGCGGCGACTGCTGGGCGGAATATCTCTCGGTGAAGGTCATGTCAGAGGGAAAGTGCCTTTCCATCTCCTGTCCTGCTCACAAGTGCGAGATTTTAGTTGACGACGCCTCCGCGATGGCGCTGATCAGGGATTCCAAGGTAAGGTCCAAGTACCAGTGCTTGATAACGCAGAGTTTCGTTGAGTGCAACAGATTGTTGAAGTGGTGCCCGGCTCCAGACTGCAACCGTGCGGTTAAAGTCCAGGAAGTGGAATTTGAACCCGTAAAGTGTTCCTGTGGCCATAGATTTTGTTTCAAGTGCAGTGAAACGTGGCACGCGCCCATTTTGTGCGAGTATTTGAGAAAATGGATAAAGAAAACCGCTGAAGACTCGGCTACCTCCCACTGGATCGGAATTAACGCCAAGGAATGTCCACAGTGCCTCATGGCGATCGAGAAAAATGGTGGGTGCAACCACATGACCTGCAGGAATTGCAAGTGTGAGTTCTGCTGGATCTGCACCAGAAAATGGTCCGCTCGCTGCTTCAGCACTGGATGCAATAGGTATGGTGAAGCTGAAGGAGCCAACCAGGAGTCTGATATTCCCACCAATGCTTTGAAGACATATTTCTTTTACCGCATGCGGTTTATTAGACATTTACATTCCTTGGAGCGGGAAAGAAATTTGATGATGGACGTTCAAAATAAGTGTCAAAGGTTACCAATGTCCTGGACAGAGGTCTTCATGTTGCAAGCAGTCATGACCAAGGCAGTCAATGTTTTGCGCCAAACTAGGGAGACCTTGATGTATTCCTACGTGTTTGCGTATTTTGTTGAAAAGTCTAACCAGAAGACTATTTTTGAGTTCAATCTGCAGGGCATAGAAAATGCTACGGATAGTCTCTCGCATTATTTGAAAATGCATATTGTTAATGCTGAAGTTGATGTCATCATACGCAAGGTTCAGAATAGGACTCAGTATTGCGACCAATTCTGCAGAGTACTTCTGGATCACGTTAATGAAGGTTATGACAAGGGCTGGTGGACCCATCTTGAAACTGCGTAGGTTATATTTTTTAATTACTGTACATATAGAAAGGTTAGCTTGACTCGAGAAAATTTATTTTGGAAGGAAAATTTATCATTTTACTTCTGGTAGTGATTTTATAGAGGTGGTGCACACTTGTACATAGAACCAGAAGGAATATAATATTGGTAAACTTAGAACTTTGATACGCCAACTAGCGGTTCAAACTGTAACTACTCGAGGTATAGGTTAATTTTGTATGCATGTGTACATGTGTAGCCTACTTTGAGTAGTTCATTTTTGAACATCAGATGTCTAATACCTGAGCCATGTCTATTAATATATTGGCCGGGTGCGAAGTATATGGTGGGGAGGGCTAGCACTGACTACCTCTTTTACGTGTAAATTTTATGGGAAGAGCATGATTTAACGCTAATGGCGACCACTGGAACTAAATTACTCCGTTTGTAAATAAATTATTTAAGTACAAAGTAATATAAGTATAAGTAAGAATAAGTACATTGTAATAACAAATTTTAATGATTTAGATTTTTCAATTATTTACCTGTACATACCCATATAGCAATCATTTTGAAGGATTGAGCAAGTCTGGTCTTAATTTCAATAATTGTTTTTACAATTTATACATTATTGTAGATAGAGACAGAGTATAAATACTTAAAGTTAAGTACATATAAGATGATTCTATATAAATCAAATTTTCAATACTTAAAATGCTATCAACTAATTAGGCTAATTAACAATTAGAAAGAAAAAGAGATATTTAAGTTGTCGGCTTTTACTTAATTTTTTTTTTATCACATCTCATCTAGTAATATAAAGAGTAATTAAATTCCCATTTACTTATGTATTTAGGGTACGTCTTAAGCCCTTAAAAACGTCTGGGGCCGACTAATGACGGGAAAATTTTCGAGCGCCCAGACGAGACACTTAATGTATTTTTTTGATTATTCTATCTCTTTTTAATTTTTTTTAGAAAAAATGTTAAAAATTAATAAAATTATTTTTAAAAAATTACATTTATAGTTTTTCTAAATTTCTACCTAATAAATTTTTTTTTGCCATAATTTATTTGTTAAAAAAATTTTTATAATTAATAAATATCTGCTAAAATTAATTCTCAATTATTTTCTACTTTTACGTTTCAAATAAAATAAATATTTTATAAAAAAAATTACCCAAAGGCGCTAAATTAATTTCTTCAAGCACAAAAAAAAATTCCACATGTCAAAATTAAAAGAAAATATTAATTAAAAATATATTATAGTGAAAAAATGTTTAAAACCAGTCAGCTGTTTAGTACACAGCCATTTTTATTTCTCACTCCCACCACTTTGACTTTCCAGCTCACACTAGCACCACCTAATTCGTAAAATAACTTTTGGAGTTAAGCAGATGTTTTCTATATATGTTTTCAATGGCACAGTAGCAGTCATTGCCATTAGTCATAAAAAGTCACCGCGTGCGTTAACAGGTAAACAAAATTTTTAAATAAAATAAAATCAAAATAAGAAATATAAATAATCAAGTTAAAAAATTTGCTAAATTTGAAGTTAGTATCTTGACCATTTTTTTATTTTAATTAAAAAAAAAAAATATTTAAAGAATAAAATTACATTATTTTTCATTTTTTAAATTTCTACATCAATTTTTTTTTTTAATTAATTCACTTCTCAAAAAAATTATAAAAATTAATACTAAAGTGAACCCACGTTTTGAATTATTTTTTATTTACTAAAATTAGAACTTGATAGTACTTTTTAAAAATTGCAGTTATAGTTATTAAAATTTTTTTACTAATTTAAGGAGGTTCGAGCGAATCTATGATGTGAAAAATAATTGCCAACTTTGAGCTTTGAAATTAAGTATACGTATAAATAAATACGTAATATATCTAATCCCAAAATTTAAAAAAGATTCACCGTTTAGTTACTTAGATATTAAATTAAAAAAATCACATTTTTTATCTCCTTATACACGGGCTCTTATGGCGGACAAACGTTTAGTCGAGACTTTAATTATTTTTTTCAATATTAACCTCCCAACTTTAACGAATAAAAAACTATACACGCAAAACTTGGATTATTGTAAAATATAAAAAAAATTTAATAATAATACATTACCGATATAATTTTCGAAATATTTAAAGTTTAATTTAATTTTTTTGACTGGTTTATCGTCAGCTATTTATTCGAATAAAGATTTGGCAACGTCGCGTCAACAGCTGAGAAAAAACAAAAGGATAGAAATATAGTTACAGAGAGAGAAATATTTAACTGACACACTCATCCACGTCTCTGTAATGGGTATAATCAAACGCGCTGTTGCCAAATCTGTTTATTTAATCCGGCAATTAATAAATACCAAAGTCACTTTATTACTTTATTTTATTAAACAAGTAAAAATCATCAATTATTAAATTGTTCAAACTATTTTAAATTAAAATAAAGAATTTTGACGAATATTGGGAAGACTGAAAGTAAAAAAAAATTTAAACATTATTTTGACTGATAAGTTACGCTCGAACCTCCTTAATTAATGAAAAAAAAATCAAAAATGTCGGCTAACTTTATTATTATAACTTTATAAATTTTCATAAAAAGTTATTAAATATCTACTACTACTTTAATTTTCGTAGATTTTCAAAATTCCAAAATGGATTCCGACGAGGACTATAGCGACGAGTGCAAACTAGATGAGTACGAGAGCGCGAGCAACAGTGAATCAGATAGTGAAGAAGAGTACCCCTACGAAATCCTGGACCCGGAAGAAATAAAGATAGACATGTTAAAAAAAATAAAGTTCATCACAAGAATTTTCCAGGTATCAAAAACAACAGCCCAAATTTTGTTGCACCACTTTAAGTGGGACGAAGAGAAGCTCCTCGATGACTATTATTCCAAGGACAGAGCTAGCATCTTCAAGGCGGCTGGTTTAGTAGACCCTTTAAGTGTCTCAAAATCTAAAAAACTCCCTTCAGATTCAACAGAGTTCTGCGAAATTTGCTTGAGTCCGTTTATCAGGAGCTTGATGACCGGCCTGGAGTGCGGGCACCGTTTTTGCGGCGACTGCTGGGCGGCATATCTCTCGGTGAAGGTCATGTCAGAGGGTGAGTGCCTTTCCATCTCCTGTCCTGCTCACAAGTGCGAGATTTTAGTTGACGACGTCTCCGCGATGGCGCTGATCAAGGATTCCAAGGTAAGGTCCAAGTACCAGTGCTTGATAACGCAGGGTTTCGTTGAGCGCAACAGATTATTGAAGTGGTGCCCGGCTCCAGACTGCAACCGTGCGGTTAAAGTCCAGTATGTGAATTTTAAACCCGTAAAGTGTACCTGTGGCCATAGATTTTGTTTCAAGTGCAGTGAAACGTGGCACGCGCCCATTTCGTGCGAGCATTTGAGAAAATGGATGAAGAAAGCCGATGAAGACTATCACTCTAGATTCAGGAAATGTCCGCGGTGCCCCGCGATGCTTCAAAAAAGAGGTGCCCGCACCCCTGTTACCTGCAGGAAGTGCAAGTATAAGAGCTGCTCGGCCTGCTCCAGAAAATGGCCGACTGACTGCCTCTGCTTTAGATCTTTGAATGACGGCGAAGCTAACGAAGTTAACCAGGAATCGGAAACTGCTAAATCTGCTTTGGAGAAGTATTTGTTTCACAGCATCAGGTTCTATAGTCATTTATATTCCGTGGGGCAGGACAGATATTTCATGAAGAACGTTCGAAAGAAAATGATGCATAGGTTTTATTTGTCCTCGGCGGACGTCCAGTTCTGGACGAAGGCGGTCGATGTTTTGGACGAATCTAGGCGAGCATTGGCGTATTCCTACGCCTTCGCGTATTTTGTTGAAGAGTCTAACCACAAGACTCTTTTTGAGAACAATCAGCAGGACATGATAAGTGCTATGGATGCTCTGTTGCTTACTTTGAAAGGAGATATTGAGAATGCTGAGGTTGATAAAATCAAACGCAAGGTTCAGGATGAGACTCGGTATTGCGAAAAACGCTGCAAAATACTTCTCGATCATTGTAAAGAAGGTTATGACAGGGACTGGTGGAGGCGTGTTGAAACTACATAGGTTTTTTAGTTGAACATACCCAACATAGCAATCTTTTTCAAGGCTTGAGCAAGTCTGGTCTCAATTTCGATAGTTATTAGTGTCTTTTTCTACCTATGGGTCTTGCTCTACATACTTGTAGCAAATTCAATTGACAAGTCTTGAACAAGCCTTGTACAAGAACTTTCGGCCAGATTATAGCTCAAGAATTGTGTAAGAAAATTGAGAAAATCTAAAGATGCTTATCGATAAACTAACTATATCAATTCTTGAGAAAGACTGACACCAGAAGCATGCTGAATATACTTATGCAAGACTTGCTCAAGATCAAATGTTTTCGAATGACCGTTCGGATCATTCTACCTCTCCTATATTTACTATAGGATCAGTGGATCTCATTCAGCTTAACCTTTTAGAGTATAGACCTACTGTTTTATCGATCAAGACAAAATTATTTTAAAATGACCACCACTGAATCAATAGATCTTCAAGTAGTCGAGGGGAAAAAGTGCTATAAAATATATAATGCATGATGCATCTTGAGCAAATCTTGAGCAAGTCACGCTTCAACATTTGCTGTTAGTTTTTGGTTGACAAATGCTTTAGAAATGAACAAATTACTGAGAATTACGGATCTTGAGGAAATCTTGAGCAAGTCATGGGTAAGTGTCTGTTGTGAGTTTCTGATTCAAAAAATCCGTCAGAAAGTTTTTCAATGCACCTTGCATTAGACTTGTCTCATATTCTTCCACAAGATGTCTTGAGCTAGTTATATATAAATTTTGAACCAGTTCTTTCTATATGAACTTGAGCAAGATCTATATGTAGAAAAAGACACGAGCAACTAGGGGTTTTGCTCAAGACACTGGCACCTAAATCTTGCTCAAGCACATGTTACCTTGGTCGACTCGAGAAAAAAAAATTTTGTAAAAAAAACAAATAAATTTATTAAGTCAAGAATAAAATTCTTGAGTTCTAGGATAAAATTTTTGGTTTAAAAATAAATTTCTTGGATCAAAAAGTTTTTATTTTGCCCGAAAAGAAATTCATTATTTTTCTTGTAGTAGTCTTGGTTCAAGAATTTCTGTCTTGAGTTAAATAACACTTTTTTACCACTGTAGATAAGTTATTTTTTTTAAATTAATGTATTTTTGACGGAATAAAAAGTGTGTTTTAATTTCAATAGTCTGGATTTTATTATTTAATTTTTTTTTAAGAAAATCGTGTTAGTAATTTTTTTTAGCAAAAAAGTTTTACCTGAAATTGATAAATTTAAGTTAGAATTTTTTGCATATGTAATTTTTGTAATTTTATATGTGGAATATTTTTTATTAAATATTTTTCTTATTAATGATTTAATTGTAATAAAATTCTAAAAAGTTTTTGATTTTTGAGGTTAAAATTTTACAATTTTTTATAATTAAAAAATTTTTAAAAATTACACAAATTTTTTTTTTTAATTATTAAAATAAATTTTAAACATTTAAAAAAAAAACCCAAAAAAAGTAACTCTTTTCAAATTTGTAGTAAGTTACCACTAGCGCCGTCTGTAGTGACCATACTATAATTAAAAACGACAAGTACGTTATTATTCACATTATTCACCGGTACTCGCAATAAAAAAAAATCTTAATCGCGTGAGTATTATTCGTTGTATTGAAATCGAATCAAGATAAGCGTCTGTTATAAAATTAACCAGTTCAAAATTTAAATATTTATATTAAATTATCACCTTAAACTTTCAAATACAAGTTAAATATATTTCTTAAAAATTAAAATTACTTTTAAAAATAATAATTATTATTTAATAATTTTTATATACTCGGATTAAAATATCGTGAGTTTTTTTTATTTATACTTACAACTCGCCTCACAAGTTCTTATCTCAAGTTGAGCTGTTAACAAAGCGTCAGGTTGCAGATTCTTGAAGTTTATAAAAATTCCTAACCTCAATTTATCAGCCAGGTAATAAAAAAAAAATATTTTAAATAAAAATAATTAATTAATTAATTTAGCAGACATTTGATAATTTTTTTCAAAAATATTAAAAAAAAATTGAACTTAAAAATTTTTTTAATTTTTTACTTGTCAAATTTTTTCACTAAAAAAAAAATTACAAAATTTTTTTAATGTCAGCTGATAAAATTTTCAAAAATTACTAACAATAATTTTTCTTACCAAGCCAAAAAAAAAAAAAAAAAAAAACAAAATGTCGGACAACGAGCAGCCTGACCTTGAAGTGATTGAACTGGACCTAGAAGAAGAGTACGATAGCAACGACGACATAGAGATGGCGCAGCTAGAAACTTTAGTAACCGACGTGGAGGATTACAAGTACACAATACTGACCCCAGAAAAAATAGTATCCGACATGATAGAAAAAATAAAATCAGTGAACTTGATCCTACAAATCTCTAGCACAACCACCAGAATTTTGTTGCACCACTTCAGGTGGGACGAAGAGAAGCTCCTCGATGACTATTATTCCAAGGACAGAGCTAGCCTCTTCAAGGCGGCTGGCCTAGTAGACCCTTTAAGTGTCTCAAAATCCAAAAAACTCCCTTCAGATTCAACAGAGTCCTGCGAAATTTGCTTGAGTCCGTTTCCCAGGAGCTTGATGACTGGCCTGGAGTGCGGGCACCGTTTTTGCGGCGACTGCTGGGCGGAATATCTCTCGGTGAAGGTCATGTCAGAGGGGGAGTGCCTTTCTATCTCCTGTCCTGCTCACAAGTGCGAGATTTTAGTTGACGACATCTCCGCGATGGCGCTGATCAAGGATTCCAAGGTAAGGTCCAAGTACCAGTGCTTGATAACGCAGAGTTTCGTTGAGTGCAACAGATTATTGAAGTGGTGCCCGGCTCCAGACTGCAACCGTGTGGTTAAAGTCCAGGAAGTGGAATTTAAACCCGTAAAGTGTGCCTGTGGCCGTAGATTTTGTTTCAAGTGCAGTGAAACGTGGCACGCGCCCATTTTGTGCGATTATTTGAAAAAATGGGTCAAGACTGCCGCTGAAGATTCGGCTACCTCCCACTGGCTCGGAATTAACACCAAGGACTGCCCCAAGTGCAACACGGCGATTGAAAAAAATGGCGGCTGCAACCACATGACCTGCAGGAAGTGCAAGTATGAGTTCTGCTGGATCTGCAGTGTTAATTGGGCGCATCATAATGTTAATTATAGCTGCAATAGATTCGAAAGTGCCGAAGCGCAGAATGAACAAAAGACCAATAGATCTAAGCTCAATAGGATCTTGTTTTATTACGACAGATATGTCAACTACAAGAAGTCTTTTGAAAAAGACAATGACTTGTGCTTTATTATTGGGGAGACTATTACCAAGTTCCAAACTTTGGGCATGTCCTGGATGGAAGTTCAGTTTTTGACCAGGGCGCTGGAGGCGCTAAGGCAGTGCAGGGTTACTTTGATGTACTCGTACCCATTTGCTTATTATGTAGAGTCTTGCAATCAGATGGATATCTTTGTGGACAATCAGCGTGACTTGGAGATTGCGACTGAGGAACTGGCGCAATATTTGGAACGGGAGTTGCAGACTGATAGTGTGGTAGAGGTTAAGCAGAAGGTTAGGGACAAGACGGCTTATTGTGAAGACCGGAGGAAGGTTCTGTTGGATCATGTTCATGAAGGCTACGACAAAGATTGGTGGAAAGACAATTTGCTTGTATAGATTTTTCATTGTTCAGTTTGCAAGTTCTTTTTTATTTTTCTATCAATAAAGATTTGATGTGAATTTTTAAATTGCTTTTTTGATTTTTGAGGTTAGATTTGGGATGTTAAAAATATAAAGCAATTTTATTAAAAAGGTTTTAGGGAAACATATAGTCTGATTACACCGGCACACAAAAAAAAAAAAGTGGAATGTACTTTGAACCGGACCTACCTACCGACATATATTTCGACCCGCTGAATCCGAATTTCAAGTCCGTTTGGCCCGTTCACTCTCCAGTTTTGAGTAAAATGCAAAAAACCTCAAAAAATTGCAAAAAACTGCAGTCACAGCAATAAAAAAATTTTTGTGGACCCGGATGACGTATGATTTTTATGTATTTCAATTTACTAAATCTAAATCTAAAAGTTACTTAGCCCGATAAGCTGTTCAAATTTTAAAAATAACGAAAAACCCAAAAAAAATTGCAAAAAATCATGAAAAATTGAAGTTTTCGAAATAAAATTCGTTTCAGACTCGGATTGAGTATGATTTTCATGTATTTTGTTCCGCTGAGTTTGAATCTGAAGTTTTCTTTCCCCGCTAACGTTTTAAAATTAAAAAAAATCTCAAAAAACCAAAAAAATCGGGAAAATTGCAGTTACAAATATGAAAAAAAAATCTATAAAATATGATTAAATGCTTTTTTTGTATTTTTTCACGCATAAAATACAAGTTGAGGATTTGAAACTATGAAAAATTGTAATTTCTATAAAAAATGACGTATAACTAGAATAAAAAGAACGATTTTCTCGAATTTCAAAATGTTCTTCGATGGTATCGAACTCTTTTGTTCTCAAGCGATCTACGCAGTGAATTTTTTTCCGTTTGTTATTATCTCTTGGTGTATCCCTTTTAAGTATCCAGCAAAAATCTGCCATCGTATTAATATTCCAATTTCTTTGATACCTAGTCTCCATTTCACTTATGTCTTGATGGAATCATTCTTCCTGTTTTTCATTGTAGTCTCTAAGATTTTCAGGAAAGTGGTCAATATGAGAATCCATGAAGTGTAGTTTGAGGTTCATTAAGAAAACTTAATTTTTGTAATTTGTCACCAATTTTTCTACTAACGTCCTGTTATTTTCGTTTCTTTGATTTCCTAAAAAGTTTTGAGACACATTTTTGAAACTTACCCAAGCTGCTCTCTCCGTCTCGTTCATTTACTCTATAAAATTTGGATACTGAAATAGAGTTCGAATTTGGGATCCATCAAAAATTCCTTCTTTTGATTTTGCATCACTTATCGAAGAAAATTTTTTTTTCAAATACTGGAAACAATAGTAGTACACATAGTAGTGGTTCACTGGACACTTGGAAGGGATACACCAAGAGATAATAACAAGCGGAAGGAAAATCCACTGCGTAGATCGTTTGAGAACAAAAGAGTTCGATACCAACGAAGAACATTTTGAAATTCGAGAAAATCGTTCACTTTATTCTAATTATACGTCATTTTTTATAGAAATTACAATTTTTCATATTTTCAGATTCTTAACTTGTATTTTATGCGTGAAAAAATACAAGAAAAGTATTCAATCATATTTAATAGATTTTTTTTTTCATATTTGTAACTGCAATTTTCCCGATTTTTTTGGTTTTTTGAGATTTTTTTAAATTTTAAAACATTAGCGGGGAAAGAAAACTTCAGATTTAAACTCAGCGGAACAAAATACATGAAAATCATACTCAATCCGAGTCTAAAACGAATTTTATTTCGAAAACTTCAATTTTTCATGATTTTTTGCAATTTATTTTGGGTTTTTCGTTATTTTTCAAATTTGAACGGCTCATCGGGCTAAGTAACTTTTAGATTTAGATTCAGTAAATTGAAATACATAAAAATCATACGTCATCCGGGTCCACAAAAATTTTTTTATTGCTGTGACTGCAGTTTTTTGCAATTTTTTGAGGTTTTTTGCATTTTACTCAAAACTGGAGAGTGAACGGGCCAAACGGACTTGAAATTCGGATTCAGCGGGTCGAAATACATGTCGGTAGGTAGGTCCGGTCCAAAGTACATTCCACTTTTTTTTTTGTGTGCCGGTGTTATGATTAATTGTTTAAAAATTTTTGAGGGTATATTTATAAATTTATTTTATAACCGGGTATATATACATATTTTGAGAATACACAGTAAAATATTTTTGAAGATAAAAATTGAAGATTTTTGTAAAGCTAACCTAATCTTAAATTATGGATTAGAGCTAAATTTTTTTGCCATTTTATTCGACGATTTTTAGGACCCTGGTTAAGAATACTGATTGAAATTATTGAAAAGAATTCGAATTTTATTATTTTTAAACAGGAAAATTTCAATTTTTTAATATAAAATAAATTATTTGAATTACTAAAGCCAAAAAAAGCTTTTCTCAAGATAGACCTCTGTTTTGTTTTAAAATAAATTTTATTATAGCCAAAAGAGTGTAGAAAAAACATGTCTTTACTATAAAAGATTGACAAAAATTCTATATATTAAAATTGATGGTCGATTAGTATCGAAATAACCCTCAAACATGGACCTTGAATCGTTATTGGTTCAGGATTAAAGCGCGCGCAATTTGAATTCCTATTAAAAGTAGATTAAAATAACACTCAGGGTATGATAATTAAATAGAGAGACAAAGGTACCCAATTAATTATCAAGGTGGCGACTGAACACTAATTTCAAAATTCCCTTACTTTTACCTGACCAAAAATAAAATTCAAGAACCTACAAAAAAATAATTGTTATTCAAATATTCGTTATAATTGCAAATTATTTTAAAAATAATTTTTTTATGCTAGAAAATTCATATCTAATATCCAGAATTGAGTAAAAATTTGGTACTATAAATTATGTTAAACTTTTTTGCAGATTTTCAACTATTCAAAAAAGATCAGTTTCTTTTGAAAATTAAATTAAACTTTTGAAAATACAATAATTGATATTATAACTATCATTAATCATTGAGAAGTTATACTTTTTTTTATTATTATTAATTATCCATACATTTAGTTTTTTGAATATTATTGATCACAAAAACACTTTTCATTGACAATTAGACCCTATTAAAAATTTCTATACCCAAAACCTCCGTCTATCTTTATAAATCCGCCTTTTTGGCTTATCTATAGTATTTTTCTTACCTGGGGCAGGAAAATAAGAAATGTCTCAGATTACATGTAATTGTTGACCGAGGCGAAGCCGAGGTCGACAAACATGTGATCTGAGGCTTTCTTATTTCCTGCCCGTGGTGAGAATACTATTTTTCTCCTCGACGGAGGCGGAAAGCGGCATTTTCGTTTAGCGCAGCGAGCAGAAAATTGACGCTTTCCGCACGGAGGGGAGAAAAATTTTTTTTTAACCTCAAGGTAGTAGTCTGGTAACTTATGCCTATTTTCATGACTTCTTTGGAGGGTGGTTTTTTATAGGAAAATAAAAATGAATTATCTTGAATATTTAGAGTGTTTTTATTTACATATTGAAAATATAAAAAAAAAATTATTTGAAAAAATTTAATAGTTTATTACTATTATTATTGTCACTCAAAGTTGGAACCTCAGAAAAAATGCTTTAAGTTAAAAATATCCTTTACAAAAATTAGTAAAAATAAAATTCTACGCTCTTATACTAATCTTAATTTAGAAAGATTTGAAATGATTACCTTCATGTTAATTGTATATCTACACAGTATTTAAATCAGATGCTTTTAAATTATTTCAACTTAGATTTCTTAACACTACAATATTAACAAAAAAAATTTTAAAATAGCATAAAATATTCAAATCTTGACCCCCAGTAGCCTTGTTTAGATAATCTAAAGATAAAAATTCATAAATTCAAACCAAATACATTCACCGTCAAAAATACACTTTATTAATGAATACCCAATTACAAAAACATTACAAAAAATTCCTCTTAAATCCTACAAATCAATCAATTTTAACTCCAGGACCTCCAAGACTCGATCGGGTGACCAGGAACCCGTATCCTTGCATAGTCTCCGTGACCTGCTGGACCTTCTCCTCCTCGACACCAGGCGGCAGAAGAACATAAGCATACCCTCCTCCACCAGCTCCAGTCATCTTGGCCTTAAGCTTGTTCTCCCTTGCCACCGCGCAGATCTTTTCCAGCGCCGGATGGGACACCTGGCAGCTAGCCAGCAAACCATGATTGACCTCCACAAGAGCACCCAGGTCCCTCCAGTGATCTTCATCATCCAGCGTCCTCATCTTCCTGATCACCTTAAGGGCTTCTTGAGCCACCTGGTCAATGGCGTCCAAGATGGCGTCCACAATTCCCGGAAACTTGATCTTCAACTCCTTGAACTTCGCCACCAGGTCCTTGGTGCTCCTGGGCACCCTCGTGTCCACCAGCAAGATCTCCATCGTCTTGACCCCAAAAATCGGGTCTAACTTGTCAGGCTTTTTAAATTCTATCACCGCTCCGTAGATGGCGACAGTGTGATCTATCCCAGAGGGCGTTCCGTGCATAATCTTCTCGCAGCCCATCGCAAACTTGGAGATCTTCTGGAGTTCAAGCTCGTCAAGCTTCGTCAGTTTGTTCTTTTGGAGATTTGCCCAGTGTAAGAAGCTGGTGGAGATACAGACAGCGAAAGAAGCCGAGCTGCCCAATCCTGACCCAATTGATAGCTTAGTGTCCAGAAATAAGCTAAAGGGCTTTATTTCAAGGCTTTCACTTTGCGTTACAGCAATTAATAAGTAAAACAACGCTTCTAAGCCCAATTTTTGGATACCTGAATACTGGAGCTTATCCACGAATTTACTTACAAATTCGTAAAACTCTTCGTGCTTTTCCTCGGTAAGTTTCGGAGAATTTTGGGAGAGTTCTATAACTTCTGCTAATGACACTGTAATTTTCAGATCCAACTTCGGCATACTCAGAAGAATATTCTGGCCATCAAGTTCGTTGAACTGAAGAGTTGTTCGCAAATCCAAGCTTGCTGCAACTGCAGTTTTTCCGTACACTACTGCGTGCTCGCCGAAGAGGATCACTTTCCCGGGAGCTGACACGAGGAAGTTCATTTTGATGACACGACGGACTGATGGATGGGTACTGGATGGGACAATCGATTCGATTGCCGCTGGGTTATTAGGAGAAAGTTACACGGTACAAGTGCAGACGGTTATATGTACGTGAATGGAAGGCTGACGCAAGTTGATAGAGAGGATGCGCGCGCAGCTGTTATAATGCTCAGCATAAGTTTCTCTGGCGAGGAAGGTAAGTGGGGGTATTCATGATACTAACTGTATGTAACTGGTTTATATTTGTTAGGTTGTATTGCAGGCGCTACCTGAGGATGCGTTTTATTTTATAATTATAATGGGTACTGCTGACTCAGAGAATTTTGATTTTTTTTTTAGTATGTTATTGGATATTATATGCAAGTTTAAGCAAAAAATTATATTGCGTGATATCCCTGATTGAAAATACTCATTAAAAAAAAATTAAATTGTATATTTAATATAGATATATATAGAGAAATTGAAATTATTGAAAAAAAATTCAAATATGATAGTGAAAAAGTAGGAATTTTTTTTGGCGGATTGTAAGCATAAAAAGTGAGTAAAATAGGGCGTAGGGTTATTTATTTATTTATTTATTGATGAAAAAATATGTCTAATGGCGGAATGGCCGATAACAGGATCACAAAACAAATTATACAAAGTATAGTCACTGAAGGCGAAGTATAAATGGAATTATAATATAATCTATGTTATCTGCATTTGAAATATCTCTGGATACATAATTGAGATATGACCTTGTATCTTGGGAACTATTGACATTTTTAAAGATATAAGCTCATCGGGATGTTAAGCTCATCGAGACCTTTCATTTGAGTACCCACATCAATTTTTGATATTTTATATATATATATATATATAAATATGAAAAATATATAAAAATTGCATGTGGGTACTCAAATGAAAGCTCTTGATGAGTGGAACATAGGAATGAGCTTATATTTTAAAAAATGTCGATAATTAAGAAATGACCTTGTATCTTGTGAATTATTAACATTTTTTAAGATATAAGCTCACCCCAATATTACACTCATCGAAACCTTTCATTTGAATACCCACATCAATTTTTGATATATTTTTTATATATATTATATATTATATATATGTAAATATTAAAAATATATAAAAAATGCATGTGGGTACTCAAATGAAAGCTCTTGATGAGTGTAACATCGGGATGACTTTATATCTTTAAAAATGTCTTTAAATATTCAAGAAAGTACAGTGCAATTTAACAAAAGTCATTATTCAATGAAACAAAATTTTAACTATTTTTAGATTACAAGTCACGACAGTCACATAGTGACTGCAAGGTTGCTAGTTAATAATCAAAATAGATAATTTAATTAGTTGACGAGTTGATTTATCATAAATTAGTTGATATCGTTGTCAAAGAATAAATTTAATCAATGGTACAATTGATGCTCATGACCATCATCAAGGTCTTTCATGGTTCAATCAGTATATTTTCATATGAAAAATAACAAGGAAAATGAAGATTAAAATATAAATTGAATAATAAAATTTGGAGGTCGTACTTATTAATTGAGCGTACGATTAGAGAGAATAGAAATTACTGGCAATTGAGAAAAACGTTTGAACCGGGAAGTAATGTACTTAAATGACAAAAATCCAGCGTAATCGGGTGTGCCTTTGTAGAAAAATCCCAGACCACTGATTGGAGCTGGTGGTAGAGTTATTACAGGGCGAGAGTCTAAGAAAGGAACTATTGCTGCGTTGTGACTTTTCTCAGAGTACAAAGATATCGTTAAATTTACATAGTGCTGGCCTGTCTTGCTCAATTCGTAGGTCAGCTCGGAATCTCGAGGATTCTTTCTTGAACTTATGTCGATATTCATTCTGAAATTCGTCAAAAATTAAAGTTCACTGCTAGTGAGACACAAGAACACACTTGATGAGTGAAATTAAATTATACCTATCAGTGGAATTTATCTTGGAAGGATAAAACCAACGGTCTCCAACAGACGATGAATAGAAGCTACCTTCACTGTTGTACATCACCGATCCTCGAACTGCTATTGATATTCGATCATCTTTCGTCACGACAAACTTAACTCCTGGGGATTTAAATTCAGTTAAACAAGATTGTTGCTGATTAATAAGACAATTTGAGAAGCGATTGATAAAAAATGGATAAAACTTTAGTACCTGTGACGAATTGTCCATCGGGCATATTAATGTCGTCTAAATTGAACCCGCGAATCTTGTAACTAAGCTGAACAGTCTGAGTCGGTCCATCTGCAGGATGACCACCGTCAGTTCTCCATTTAACGGAGCTTGGATCAATCTCTCCATTGACCAGATGTCCTTCTTGGATTTGCAACGTTATCACATTCTTCTCAACGGCAAACCTGATCCCCGTGACGACTCTGCAAACCAAATGCCATCAATAACCACCTTATCAAAGCAAACGCCTTCAGTTACTACCGATTGTCCGAGCTGTTGGTGTAATACTCTCTCAAACTCAGCAGACGAACGCTGATGTCATTGTCAACTTGTTTATCACAAGCACACAACTTCAACAGCTCGCTGTGGTCACCCAGAATGCACGCAGAAGTCCAATTTTCCTTCTTGTATCCTCTGACATTGTTCCACCCATACTTCCGGCAACTTGTATCTTCACTGTCAAAATTCTCCAGGAAAACCTGAAACTCCCCGCTTGAATTACCTCCGGTATAAATTTATAAACTATCAACTTACAATCGGACAGTACATGCTGTACTCTATCCCCTGGGGCAGATCCAAAGGATTGAAGTTCGCCCTTATTCCGTCGCACTCATACTCCGACTCTTTAGTGTCCAGGTAATCCGCGTTCGGGTCAAAGTACCACTTGGTCCTCTGCTCATAGTACGCCACGTAGTTCTTCACGCGGATGTAATTTCTTTCTGAACATTCCATCATAAATTAATTAACCAGCTCAGCAAAATAAGTCTATCTACTAACCTTCCGACCACTCCAACGCGTCGCAGTTCATGTACATCCATTTGTTCAGTTTGTAATCAAATTCATCCCACATTGTTAGATATTCATTTTTGTTAATTATTAAATAGTCATGACCTGTTTTCATTACTTTTATCACACTCGCCCTTAATTCATTCAATAAGTCTACTCCGGTCATCCAATAAGGGCATTCTTAAAATAAAACACTAGTAAAACACAATTTTTTTTACAAACTAATAAAAAAAAAAATTATCTTGATTCAAGATAAATTTTTTGGAACTTGGGAATTTTTCTTGGATTAATATTTTTTTTTAGAATTTTTTAACAATAATATTATATTATGAAAAAATTATTATTGGAAATCTTTTTTTATTATAATTTATTTATTGTTTAAATTTTATTAATTAACAGCTCCAGTTAACTAAGTTAATTTTTTTGTCTTGAATCAATTCAATTTTTATTTTTATTTTTTTTTCAATATAAATAAAATAATCAACAACTCACTTAAATGTTTTATTCTTCCAATTTCACACGCTCCAATAAAAGAAGCAAACGATTTATAAACTCCTATTAAAATATCCCTATACATATTTTGCAGTCTTTTAACTATTGGAACATTGTCACAGTTAACATGAAATTGTTCCTAAAAAAGAATCTATATTATTGAGAGAATAAAAAAAATTTTGTTTCTAGGATACTCATATGATGAAATCGGTTTTTTAAGTGAAATTTAGTGTCATTGCAAGTCTTAATTGAATTTGTGCCTTTTTAAGGTTTCACATCATTCTCACCGATATTCAATTTATTATGATGAGTATTTAAGCTGCAATCGAAAATGTTCTATCTCTAGACACATAATTAAGAAATGACCTTGTATCTTATAAACAATTGACATTTTCAAAGATATAAGCTCACCCTGTCATTACATTTATCGAGACCTTTCATTTGAGTACCCACATCAATTTTTCATATATTTTACATATTATATATATGTATATATAAAAAATATATGAAAATGCATGTGGGTACTTGAATAAAAGCTCTTGATGAGTGTAACATCAAGATGAGCTTATATCTTTAAAAATATCAATAATTAAGAAATGATATTGTAACTTGTTAACTATTGACATTTTTAAAGATATAAGCTCA